TGACGAAAAAGAAATAAATTAGATTTTAAAAATATAGTTTCACAAAATATTAAGACAATGAATACGGTTGGTTTATTATAAGTGAGATGACTGTTTTAAGTATGATAATAGTCGGGTATGGATTGAACGGAGACGGTCGCTCTCTTAAAATTTAAAATAATATATATTTTAGATGAATTAACGTGTAATGAATATATTTTATTAATGAGTGGTGCAAGATCTAATGGTATTATTATATAAGATATGTTTTAACTAATATTTTGAAAGTAATACCAACGAGATAATTTAAATGGAAAGTAGTTTGATATTCAGTGGTGAATTCAGAAATTTAAGAAAGAAAGTTTAAAATTTTAATTTTCTTGTTTTTAAACTAATGTGTATGCATTTCCCCTTTTTCCCTTAACACATTAAATTAAATTTAACTATTTTCCCAAAAGAATGGGATGCACTTGGCCCCTATTGGGGCTTAGTGCATCCACCCTTGTTGATATTGCTTAAATTGGTCTTGAGTTCAAGTCTTTACGTATGCAAAAAAATTTCAATTAAAAACTCACCCACGAAAATCAAATGCATAACGTAGATCGATCCGGATTTATTAAAACGAAGCTCTGAAACTGGGATAACAACAACAAATAATAATAACACTCGTAAAATGTTATTGAATCTATTTTTTTAATAGCTTGAAGGTTTATTCTCTAATAATGCAATGTACTCAAAATTCTATTCATAATTTTTAAAAAATAGAGATATCTTAAAATATCGAAGTAGATTTTGGTTCAAACCTCTCTATAATTACAACTATCAATTGGATAAATACGACTATATAATATAAAATACTATAAATTAAATAAAGCATAATACAACATAAATAAAAATCACAATATAACATAATAACAAATTATGATATCTATGTATGACCTATATTCCCTTTTTAATATATTCTCTCATTCTCAGTGTTATTCTTTCAAGTAGTTTTGATGATATGATTAGAGCAGCATGAATCAACTTTCGAGTTATTTTGGAACTTCAGGGGAATAATAATGAAACTTCACCACTATATGAATAATGAATGTTGGACTTCTTATGTCAGGTTACGGATCAAATAATAAATATTCTTTTTTAGGTGATCTCTGAGCTGCTACTCAATTGATTAGTTATGGAATATCATTAATTTTATGAATATCTACATGCGATTCGTTGAAATATAAACTTTTTATTTTCCCAATTCCTTTTGTTCTAGAAATAAGTTGTTTTAAGTGCATTTTTATGTTCAAGAAAGTGACAGATTCAGCAGCCCAATGAATGTAGTTCACAACTGGTTACTTATTTGGCTGCATCTTGCTTTCACTGAGTCTTACGGTACCTATTAAGGATACTTTCTTTCTCCTTTATTTATTATAAAATTGGTAGTCGTTTTTGAGCATAATGATACCATTTCCTCCACATATACATCCAGAATAAAATGGATATAAAAAATCTATTCGAAAGAATACTCATTTTTAGTGGTTATAAAAAATAGATATAAACGAAAAATAATTACGAATCTCGAATTGTAATCTCAAGCATGTAATTAAATATTGACTTGTATTTTATTTTTATTTGAATAATGACGTGCGTATGATATAATTAATATTTCATAATTGGTTAAACAATAACGATACAGCAGCAGTTCCCATAGGCATTGACATGGAATTTTGAACCTTGGAAGAGAAGACACGAACTGCGTTATTGTAACTTATGTCTGTCAATTCTTCTTCGCTCATTTCCTGTAAAGATGCAACGTATATCAGCACCTGCAGAACCCAAGTCGTTGAATTACTTGGCAGTAAATTAAGATTAGGGTAAAGTACACAAATTGTACCGCAATTATAGGGTGTTGTTTCGTTGAAATTTATCGTCTATTAAAATTACAAAATGACCATCTAATTATAAAATATTATTTTGTTGAATCCTCAATTGTTAAAAGTTACAAAATGATCATCAAACTATTCATATGTTTAAAACTCATCATTTTTTATTAAAAAATAGTGGAATTCTAATCTAGACATCAACATGTTGATCGTGATATGATAAAATATGATACCGGAATCGTTTGAGTTATTTTATGGATCAACTCTCCGTTTATATTATATAGTTGAGTCAGTGCTTGAAAGTAACGATGATGCTAGTAAACATCATTAAATTATGATTTTATCATATTTCAGTTAGCAAGAAAACGTAAAGCTCAAATGACCTTCAAATTTTGAACAAAAAATGATGAGTTTGGAAACATCCAGATAATCGGATGACATTTTATTTTTAATAGTTGAGGGACTCAACAAATCATCATCCAATAATCGGGATCATTTGTAACTTTTAAGAGCCAGTAGACTCAAAAAAGCAACGTTCTACTCTTAATATAAATATTACTTGGACGAAGAGCAGAGGAAGAAGATGTACCCTCTGAACGTTTGCAGGCTGATTTAGGGTATAATTCCTAGGAACGAAGTAAATAGGGTATGTTGGAAGGGCATCAGGTGCATCCGTTTCCAATAAAATTCTATCCAAAAGGCACCGCTTCACAATTTCTGTGGCATTGTCTTCTTCCAGTGGCATTAAATGTCCAGAGAACGAAAAGTAGGAGCCCAGCTGTGTGAGTTGAGCTACAACCTCTGGCAATCCATTCAATGAATGGAGTATCACACATGCTGGAAAATGTCCCATTTCCCTTCAAATTTAACAATAATTAGAAACGCCAAACAAATAATAAATCATCTTAAAACGTCATATTAAATAAATGTTTTTTAAAAATACGTCATAATATTATATATAAATTTAAAATAAAAATTACAAAGAAAGTTAAAAAGAATGGTACCAACCTGTTCCCGAATCAACCCCTTGTGCCAGAGGCTGTTGTCTAAACCAATCTGAGAACAGCGTTGCATGCATACATAAGATGACATATACTACAACAAGGTTAAGAGAGGGATTGAAAGTCAATATGCTAAATAATTTAAATAGATAAAATGTGTATTTTATTTATATTCTTATATAAAATGATTTAATGATATGATATTAAATATAAATTAAAATATTTGATATTAATTTAATATTTTTTCTTTTAACTTTTTATCATCTATGGATAATTAATCTTAAACTGGTCATCAACAATTATTTTTTTCTCCTTTTTTATCTCTTTCCTCATTCTCTCCTCCTTTAGGTTTTGTGTAACTTTTTTCATGTTTTTAATTTGGATATTTGAGTTATTTTATTTATTTCTTATTTTGGTATAAAAATTGTAAATAATTTTGTCTGCTTATATTTTATTCTTGTTGCTATAGCATATATTCTATTGTTGCAAGTTTAGATTTATCGTGATGATTTTTATTTAATTATCATAATGATCTACCTTATTTTGAACTTTTAAACTGATTCTCTATTTGTTAATGTGATTTATTCTTTTATATATATATATATTAAAAGCTAGGTTAAGGATTAATAATAATAAAAAAAAGCTAGGTTAAAGAAGATGGTATAGTAAGTAAATAAGAGGAGCCTCCCCAACAGCAGCTGAAGGGTTTGCCTCAAGTAACTGTTTGAGCGTGTGGAACCAATAGGGACTCCTTCCTTCAACGAACCTATCAAAGCAATAACTAAGGATCGACCCCAAACAAAATAAATTAAAAGATTGAAAACCCAAAGAACAGTTATATATTACCAAGGATGTAGCCCAAAGTTTGGGATCACAGACTCACAGTCATCACCCATTTCTTTCACCAAATGCCAATCTTTATGAGAAAAAAAACGAACCTATCAAAGCAATAACTAAGGATCGACCCCAAACAAAATAAATTAAAAGATTGAAAACCCAAAGAACAGTTATATATTACCAAGGATGTAGCCCAAAGTTTGGGATCACAGACTCACAGTCATCACCCATTTCTTTCACCAAATGCCATCTTTATGAGAAAAAATGTTGTCCCCAATAACATAACTCTGAAATCAGTACCAGTAAAGGAGAATAAGTTAAAAGTTGTAGAGTATATAAATATATACCTTAGTGATCCCATCGACAGCAATGTAAACAACTCCGCCATCAAATGAGCAGGGGAGCCTTGTCAAGAACCCTTTAATCCTGAAGGTGACAGTGTGCATCAAACAGTTTCATGGCCATGGATTTGGTGCTCCTTTCAGTTGAAACAATCCACAAAACAGCAAGCAATGTACAAGGATTTGATGCTCATGATCGCTTCTTTCATTTTTTTATATCTTGCCAAAGAATAAATGATGGATTGGTTATCCACGAACTAGAACACCACCAATGTGATTGATAATTTCTTTGGAGCAGTTGTCTTGACTCTTGATAGATGCATGGCTTTTTAAACCAACAGGACGGAACTATCTAGGGATTGCTCAATCGGAAATTTTAAAAATAATTATTTTTAGCACGAACCAACTTACCTCAGTGGTTAAAGGAATCATTGTTGTTCTTAAATGTCACGAGTTGAACACTAACAGTTGCAGCAGGGTGATTGAGTGTTTCATTGTCAAATGGTTGAGAGTATTTAGAACAAATACTACTTTGTAATCACCTTAACTTAATTAAAAATTATATTTAAAACGTAAAATGAACTTATAAGATATTTATTCTACCAAAAAAGATGTTATATACATCATTCGTGATATCAAATTATTAATTTCAACTAACTACAGGTTGGTTTAGTGGGATGAGACACTTTCCTTAAGCAAGATCAGGTGTTCAAATCCTAGTGTGTAACGCCCGAAACTTGGTTAGTAGTTTGAGTTAACCCGAGATCTATTTTAGAGCCCAAAGATTTATTAATAATTTAGACCAAGGTTAATTGGAATTGGGCTGAGTTGGGCCAAAAGTATAGTGAAGGTTGATGAAATTTTATGAATTAGAAATAGAAGGACTTAAAGCGTAGTTACCCATAATTTATTTTCAAAGCTGAAACCCCTTTTTATATGGTTACGTGACCTCTCGTCCCTATATCTACCAACTTCTTCTTCTTCTACCTTCCATCATTTTCTTCTTCTCTTCCTTTCCAGATGCTAAATCAGTGGCAGCTTTAATGGTGATTCGAGGTAAACAGCTTCATTTTCTTTGTAACAACCGTCGATTCATTAATTTATGCTATTAATTTTATGTCATGCATCAAGATACAGGTTTGTTAATCTATACAACTATTACAAGAGTAATCGAAGTTTCCGCCATTTCCTTCCCATTGAATAAATATACTTCATATTTTTTGCAATAGATGCAAAGTTAAAGAGTGCAATAACCATATAGCTTAAGCTTTGATATTATTAAATTACCCCAACAGTCGAGTTTATCATATTGTTTGTTTTGTTCTGAGCTTGTAATGATAAATGGAGCAGAAGAAAGCGATTATGATGATGGGTTTCATATTTTTATGGGAAAACTCTAGGTTAAACAGATATGCAAGTGAACTGTGGTTTAGTTGTTGGTACTCACGACTCCAACGAGCTCCTCGTTTACGTCGCCATGAGGACTATTCTCTGTAAGTTTTATATACATATATATATATATATATATATTACATGGAAAATAAGAGCAAACGGTATAAATTTTGCAGAAGGGGAAAGCCAGGGAATATTTAATCGGCCAAACTGCAACATATGCGGAGATGAAATTGAGCTATCAACAGAGGAGAGTGATGGCCTGCGATGAGTGCCTTCCCAGTCTGTCGTGTTTGCTATGATACGAGCGTATGGAAGGGAATCAAGCCTGCGCTCGGTGCAAACCAGATTCAAACGTCTCAGGGTCACTTCTCAATACAATTCTCTCTTCGTTTCATATATTTTGTGTTATTGGATGTTCCATCATGTTTCAAACTTGTTCAGGCTGTCCTAGAGTGGAAGGTGATGAAGAAGAAGTTGGCGTCAATGACATAGAGAATGAACTCGATTTCCAGGGAAGGAACAATGAGCAGCACCATCTTGTCGTTCATAAGGAGCCCCAACTTTCCCTCCTCAGTAATGGCCACAAGGTATTATATAAAGTTATACTTATCTCGGGTAGGTCGGATGCGGATTTTAATACCGTGTATTTTGAAAACCTTACAAGGATTTACAGCTATGGCTATGGAAGTGTTGCTTTGAAGGATAGAATGGAGACATGGAAACAAGAGAGCAAAATTAAAATTGATGAAGTCTGATAATGATAGCAAATGTCTTTTGTGATGACTTCGATTCACCATTGTAAGCTCCTTAATACATCTCTTTTAGTATAAACTATAAATTGCTTTGCTTTATGTTTCATTACAAGTTTACAACTAAATTAGTAGTTTACTGGTCGTGGATCAGAATCGACGAGGCTAGACAATCATTGTTGAGAAAGCTACGAATTCCGTCGAGCCAGATCAACCCGTATCGGATAATCATCGTAATTCGACTTGTAGTTCTTGTGTTTTTCTTACACTATCGAGTGAAGCACCCTGAAGGATGCCTAGGCTTTAGGCTGTATCTTCATCTGTGAAACCTGCTTTGCTCTTTCATGGATCTTGATCATTCCCCAAATGGTTTCCGATCAACCAGGAGCAAGTTACTAAAAATGGATGAAACAAAGCACAACTACAAGAATTAATGCAAAGCCCAACTGTGAGATATATTATACATGATACAGAGTTGAAAATTGAAACATAGCTTTAAAGTTGAATCATACTGAATATAGGGACGGAGTTTGAACTCTTTGGTTCCACTCTAAATCATCCCAAACACTTGATCAAGAAATAGGTTTCTCCCCCTTATTAGTTATTATCCCACGTCCTGCTGTCATGGCAAACATCTTCCTACCTCTTTCCACGTTCATTGTCCGACGATGCAAAGCCGAGTTTGTCACTCCGGCCAAGCCCACACCACATGAACAAAAACATTATCATACATTGATGATCAATTGAGTTGTAGATTTCAAATGACATTGATCCAATTTTATCCATATAAACCTCCATGCAAGGGAAGGATCCTGCCGAGTTATTAGGAGGAGCTTGCAAAAGCCCTAGTATTTTATTATCCGTTTGCTGGTAGACTAAGGGAAGGGGCTAACGGTAAGCTTATAGCGGATTGCACCGGTGAGGGTGTGATGTTTATAGAGGCGGATGCCGATGTTACACTTGAACAGTGTGTGATGCACTTCACCCTCCTTTTCCTTGCTTCAATGACCTTCTTTATGATGTTCCCGCTCTGATGGGATGTTCAATTGTCCGTTGTTGTTAATCCAGGTAACAAATCACTATCATTCATTTAATTATGCTGAATAACAAGAGATGTTTTCAGTTTTATTTTAAATTGATAATCCTCAAATTTATGTTTTCTTTTTATTACAAATTTAATAGTTTTAATTAATTTTTATAGATTACACAGTTGAAACCCAACCTGTAAAACTGACTGAAACCGATTGAGTCAAAACTGTTTTTGACATACGTTGTGACGATCCGAAACCGAATCGAATCGAGTCTGAACTGGTGTTGACATGAACCCGAGTTGGACCTGGAAATTGGGATCTAAACCTAACCTGCACCCAACCTGAGAACGAATTGAACTAAAAATATGATACCCGAACCCAAATTGCATCGATTGATATGAACCAGAACCCGAGATTGACCTGGTAAATACTGATATTACATGACATGTTTTCAACCTGACCTGTTATGAACCTGACCTGTAATTGACTCGACCTTAAATGATCTAACTTGTTGTTGAACTGATATGATATTTATTTGATTGATATTTACCTGACTATAAGTAACAAGTTATAGTTAATATAATTATTTTATTTTAAATTTATAATAAACTTCTCATAATTAATTTAATATGATTAATTTTTGAAATTTAGTTTTAATATTAATTATAATTTATATATTATAAATTTGATTTTTATATTAATTCAAATTCTTATATTAAATTTAGTTATTGTCTTATTGAACATGATTTTATTAGATTATATAAATTGAATTAAATATTCATATCTAATTTACATTTAATGTGAAAATTGATTAATAATTTAAGTATAATTTAAATTAAAATTCTAAAATAAATATACATATGATGAAATGACAAACTTATTAAGATTTGAAACTTGAATAACATAAAAATACTAAAACAAAAAATTTATAAATGAATAAATAAATTTTATCACACTTTAATACACTAAAATCAACTAAACAAAATAAATTTATGTTAAAATAAATGCTCTCAGATCTTATAGCTAAGGTTTTACATTGCTAAAAACCTAACTTTACTACTAGAATTTCATCATTGAGCCTTTACCTAAATGCTGCCAACATGTTTAAATATGGGCAACTCTCCAGCTTTAAAAGCCAAATGCCACCAACATAATTTAACATGGGTAAATATTTAAATAAGAATTTACCGGTACAAAAATTGATTTAAGTCGGACCAACAACATAATTTACAAGGCATCAGGAGGAACAAACAACAACAACCAAAAGCATCACTGTATCAATTCAGCAAGCATCTTGCATCAATTCAGCAACAACATGCATTCAGAAAGCATATATCAGTGGTAAAGCCACTACAACAAACTGTTTGTAGCGGCGTTTGGAGAGAAAACGCCACAAAAGTGTTACATATAGTAGCGTTTGCAATCCAACGCCACAAATTGAGACTTTGGCGGCGTTTTTTTGTGAAAACGTTGCAATAGAGTAGAAATAGCGGCGTTTTTGGTTAAAAAAATGTCGCCATAGGGTGGTATATAGTGGCGTTTTTTCCAACAATGCCGCAATTAAGAATAGTTTTGCGACATTTTTAGACAAACGCCATAGAAGGGTTAATCAATAGCGTCATTTATAGTAATAACGTCGCAATAAAGTAGACATTTAGCGGCGTTTTAGCCCAAATGCTGCAATAGAGTGTTAATGTAGCGACGTTTATACCACAAATGTCATAATAGAGTGGTAAATTAGCGGCGTTTATACCACAAATGTCACAATAGAGTGGTAAATTAATAGCGTTTATATCTAAAACGCCGCAAAAAAAATGTGATATAGTGCCATTTTTTAAAAACACCGTAAAATGTTAAATATATTGTCCTCCTTTTCTCCCACCCAACCCCTAAAATCATTTCAACTCTTCTTCCCTCACAGTTTCTTATCTGGTACAACAACGACCTCACACCATTCCAAGCGATGTTGTCTTTTGTCTGTCCCGGCGACCAAATCAGCTCTCTCACCGACGAACTATAACACAATTCCACGGTTTGATCCCTCTTATCACTAATGATCTTTTTCATTTTTGTTTTGGTTGGTATTATGAAAATGGGGAAACCCGAGAAAACTAACATATTTGAGAAAAAAAAAGATCAGGTCCTGCCTTGAGTAAGAGAAATTATCGTCGGAATATCTATGTGGCGTATTTGCTATGACGATGGATCAAATTATCGTTGGGAGACTATCAGTCTGGTCTCGCCGTCGAAACTCAATGATGACTCGAAAGGAACTCATATTGCTCCATACCCTTCCATGGCCGATCTCCTACTTGAAGGTAATAATCTATGAATCTTTATGCCACTATATTTCCCTTTTTGTACGCTCACTCAAAATTCATAGATCGTACGCATGTAGGATCTTCGAAGCTTATTAAGAACGATGATAGAGGAATGGATAAATACCCTATATTTAGAACCGAATTTGGTAACACTGTGGCGTTGAAATAATCTTCAATTGCAAAAGCAGTATCGATCCTCAATGAAGACGATGTTGCCTCTACTGTTACTCCAAGTAAACGTTTATATCATCTATTTAAATTTATTTTAATGTTTGATTCAATTCCCAAGCCACCTCTAATCAAGTTTCATACTGTAAGTGGAGGGTCGTTATCTGTTTCAAGTGAAGCATTGAAGCGCGCAAGGAATCTTCTTGGTGAACCGAAGGTAGGAGATTATTTAGTGAAATGGATGAAGAGTTTCTCCATATAGAGTTTACACGGAGGAAAACTTAACGATGCGTCGTCAAACAAGGAAAATAGCTTTCCTACGTCCTTTCCCCACGAAGGAGCAATGAAGACTAAATTGTAGTGAACAATATGTTATGCATAACTTTAATGTTTTTAAATTATAATGTATTTTGTTGTTAAGTAGTTTTATGCATAACTTCTGTCTTAATTAAAATGTATGGTTGTAAATTTAGGTTATGTATAGAAGAAATGAAATATTTAAAATATATTAATCTATATAAATAAGGTATTTAGCGGCATTGGTATCCAAAAGCGCCACTATATATCTAACCTTTTGCGGCGTTTATATCCAAAAAAGCATCGCTAATGAGTAGTACATTAGCGGCGTTTTATACAAACGTCGTAATAGGTGTAATATAGTGGCGTTTTTTAACAAACGTCGCAATATATTTGTACTTTAGTGGCATTTTTAAACGCAAATGCCGCAAAAAATTTAGATATTAATGGCGTTTATAAAAAATGTCTCAGTAGGTGTACTATATAATGGCGTTTTTCACCAAACGCCGTAATATATTTGAATTGTTACGGTGTTTCTAGACATAAATGCCGCAATATATATGGACATTAGTTGCGTTGATTAAAAATTTCACAGAATATAACTATAGTTGTGTTTGGATTACAAATGCCGCAATTGTTGTCGTCTCATACCCTTTAGCGGCGTTTGTATTTAAAAACGCAA